CAGGAACTTTGTGAGCCCTTTAAGGAGCAAGGAGGCCAGCTTGGGAGAAACAAAGCTTTATTACAGGAAAGTCTATTTAGGATCAAACAGTTTAAGGTAGCATGCTAGTTAGCTAATCCTAAGCATTGGAAGTTGGAGAAGTGAAGTCCTCCTTATGATGGTGGGGACAAGACAGATCAACAAGGGGTAACATCCCAGGTGACCTAAACCAGCTGGCTGCACCACTTCTACAACCCGTAGGCGTTCTCGCTTCTTTTTGCCACTTGTTGTAGGTTGTTTCATTCCAAAGGAGGGCAACATGGGGACCTGCCTAGAACTCAGAAACAAACCTGTAACTACTTGTTTCCATTCTGCATTCGGCTGAGATCTGTGGATAGGAGTGTAGGTAGTACTACTAAGTAGATACATTTATGGAGAGATTGTGCAGATTAATTTTGAGTGGGGCTGGCAGACAGATTGGTCTGTTGCAAGAAAAACAACAAAGCATTTTGTAACACCTTAAGGATTAATATATTGTTTTGCATAAGCTTTTAAGAACCACAGTCCACTTCCATCACAATGTACAGAGATCAGGGAGAGCCAAACTGTCATTTGGACAGATTTTTTGTTTTGTTACATATTCACCTACCATCCATTTGCTCCAGGTTTTATGAATTTGTTTCTTAGGTGGAAATAATTCTTACCATCCAATAATATACAGTATACCTTAAGTCCTTAAAAAACCACTGCATGAATCAAATGCAGGCATTGCAGCCACAGTCAATGAAATGATAAGCACTTATAAAACAGTGGCTGGAATTTTTATTTTAACTTATCTAATTTATCTTTCAGAAGACACTTGTTTAAAAAGGAGTCTTGAGGAATACCCCAAGCCAAGGTAGTGTAGGTCTAATCTCAGTTGGAGAGCATTCCATAGGATAGGAGGCGGTAAAGGCCTTACTCCTAGTGGATTTCCAAGTGGCTCTCAGAACCACCAAGAGTACCTCTTCAGAAGACCTCAGCTGCAGAGCTGGTGGATAAAAATGAAAGGATGTTCTCACTTATCCTTGTCTCTGGTTATCTGGTTATGAGGAAGTGAAAGTTGATTTTAATGGTTTGTAGTAACTTCTGATGCTGTCCCTTGTCGCTTAAACAGCCCAGCTATGAAGGATGCTGTCCGAAGTATTGCAGGGGTAGTCAACTTCAGCTATTCCTTTTTTTTTTGTTTGTTTGACCCCTAGGTACTACAGGCTCTGCATGGACCACCAAAATGTGGAAAAACGTGAAAAAAAATCCACTCTAGAAGTGGCTGGAAGTCTGGGTTGATTGATTGATTTTGAACGCTGGGGGAGATGGGACTGCCCCTGTTTAAAAAGTAAATTGCTACTTCTGGAGGCTTCAACAATGATCAATTAACTCTTTTTCCCCCCACAAGGAACCACTGCTTTTCATGGGATCAGAGAATGCAGTGGGGCCAGGGCCCACAAAACTACAGGAGCTCCATTCAGTGCCGGCATGGTGCTTTACCTGCTCTTTTAAGTATTGGAACCTAGATGGCCTATGGTTTCTAGGGCTACAGTTCTGCAGGCTTAAGAAAGCTTAGGCTCTAGGAATAACCAACCAGAAGGTAAAAGGAGCATACCAAAGCCTTTGTGGCCAAGTCAGTGAATGCTGTTGGCTTACAGGTAACAGCCTGGATCTGTGCTACAGATGGTGGTATCTTGTGGATAGAAGAACCACATGCTGACAATGAGTGGGAAGAAATCTTGGAATTCTCTCTGCTGTCATTAAACAACAAAGAAGGCAAGGAAGACACTGCTCCTAATAGTGTTTATTATGAAAAGTGTTTTCAAATCAAATTTCACAAGATCGATAGGTTCCAAATATATTAGGAAGAATTGTAATTTCTATAACAAAGGGAAGTGGGTGGGAGGGGAGAAAAGTGAAAATAGAAAGAAGCAAAATTCAAAGCTAAACACATAGCTGTATTCTGACAGTAGTTTATACCAGTATTGTTATGATAGTTTCAAGAGTTGCTCACGGCTAGATTGTCTTGAAAAACAAAGGTGAAAAATTGCACCATTTTGTCCTGACCTGCTGAAGATAACTACCATACAGAGCTAGGATGATAGTTACTAGTTTAGGCATTTAGAACTTTGCGCAGAGATGCACCAGCCCACCCAACGTCTGGTATACCAGATTGGTGTGTACCACACTTCTCATACTTTGAGATTATCATCATTACCAATGGTTCCAAGTTAAATACCCTATTAGTAAAGCACAACACTAAAATGAAGGTCGAAATAAATAATACCATCAAAATACATATATCATTTTTCCCATTAAAATATGTAGAGGCCATTTCCTAAATATACAATGTATACAAGCAGAGTCAGGCACTCCAGTTTCGTATTTTTCATTACACTCAGAACTTCTTGCAGGTTAAAATACACTGAGCAACTTTCCCAAAACCTCAAGAAAACTATTTTAAAAAGAGAAGCTAAAATAGGCAATTTTAGCCACATCCCAGCAGAATCTAAAGCAAATCTCAAAGTGCACTCAATAGCATGTCTGATTAACATACCTCTGGCTTAATATGATGAGCCTTTTTGAAGTACTGAATTTACACATTGTAAATTTAAAGCAACTCTGCTTTAAGCATTGTGGATTTAGAGTGTTGGTCTCACAGTATCATCCAGAACTGCTATAATTTATTATTTAGTAAACAATACAAGAGAAATAATTAAATAAAAATAAATACAACATATTATCAATGTGGAAATAAAGAAATCTAATCTTATTCTTGTTCATGGGAATTCCAGAAGGCCCAAACTAATTGCATACATGTATTTGAGATGAGAAATTTGAATATTAGCCCTATATTCAGAACCCTCTGCCATAAGCATATCAAAGCAAATGACAGATGGGATGATCAACCTGAACCACCAGAATACTGTGTAACCTGTGCCTTTCCATGTACAATGGAAGGCATTCATAACATGTTGGCATATGGATACACAACAATCTGCCCATTGTTTATTGCAAAACACAGCATGCGGGCACACATGCACGGACACAAGGGTTCCCTGCTTATTGCAACATGCTCAGCTCCAACTGTAGAGTGACTTCAAAGAAAGAATGCATTTGTAGGACATTTCTTGGATGAAGAACTCCATGATAATTCTCTGGCTATACTGTCATGTTCTGCTGACATGTGAGGGTAGACAATCTTCTGTCCTCATAAACAATTCCAGGTTTCATGGCTTCTATATTTATTACTTCCTTACAAATTACAGCAGATACCTCCATGCATGGGTAAGGAAGAAACAAACTTCAACATGTGAGAGCAGGAGTAATGGAAAAATATAGTATAACTACTCTTTAAAGGAGCTAAGTTGTTTTGCGTACATACCTTGATCTCATTAGCAATCAGTCCTCAGTATTTCTCCCACAGACAGAACAAACACTTGGCTACTTCATAAAGGTGGTTGTGTAGCTTACAAGTGGGGCAGGGGCAGCATGCTAGCTATTGGACTTCTGCTCCCATCATCCCATTGACCATGTGGGATGAGGCTGATGGGATTTGCAGCCCAACAACATCTGGAGAGCCATCCATTGTCCATCCCTGCTATAGATTGCAAGTGTTAGGGAAGGGATGAACATGGAACTCCAGCGTCATTCCCTCCATTGTACAGAAAACCTTTAAAATGAACCAGGGTTCTACACATTATATGAGCAACAGTCATGGAATTTTTAAAATCTTCAAATCACATAATTCTTCATTTTGAGAGTTCCACCTGACAGACAGACACATAAATGTGGCTCACCTGGGAGACAGGCCCCAGGGGAAAGGCTTTGTGGCCCAACTAGGCTTAGTTCTGCCTAGTTTCCCATTAAAAAAAGAAAGCTCCCCATGGCAATTTCCTTTCTGAACAGGGAACTAAGCCTAACTGGGCCACAAAGTGTTCCAGTTTAGACCTTTCTCCCATATGATCCACATTTAAGTGTATGTATATTTCTGTATGTCAGGTGGAACTCCCAAAATGGAGAATTACGGGATTTATAGCCCCCCAAACAAAAAAAATCCCATTTGGTCAGTAAGCCTTGTTCAGTTTTTGTTTTTGTTTTTTTTTGGAAGGAGGTGATCATCATGTACAGATAGCACACACTGAGACTTATGTAAACCGGACTGTTGAAATCAATGTATACAAAAGGAATCCTTGAGATAACTGCACAACAAATGCAAGCAATGAAAGCAATCAGTTGAGCTAACTCAAAAATGCTACATCTATATTGTATTTATTTTGGCTTATTTAATCTGGCACTACAGTCTGGATTGCAAGACAGTCACACATTTCCATCCTTAACTGAATATATGTCAAAGAGACCTAATCTCCAGACACTTGTCCAGTGTACCTATTTAGTTACTTGTTTTTACAAACACACACACACACTTTCTTTTTTCTTTTCCTTTTTTTTAAGTGGGCTTCATGTCAATACCTAACAGAGTAAATGCATACAACTATGGATCTTACTTCACTATCCAGGACTGAGTAATAACATATTCAGTCTAGCTACTACCTTCCACACACTGTTATTTATTAATTTTGCTTCCTACTCTACTTATTCCAACCTGCATATCTTACTCTACATCTTACTTATATTTTATACTCTAGTGCTAAAAGGGACCAAAGCGCTTCTACTAGGAGCTAAGAGCTTATTGGCACACGAAAAAAGGTTGAAAATACTAATAAGAAAAGTGGAATGTCAATTGTTTCTAGAAGGGTTTTTCATAAGTAATTACACTTTTGTGAGTATCCCGTAGCTGTTTGCAATGCACAAGAATGGGATGTGAAGTCTGAACTTCCATACACAAACAAAGGTTTGTCTTCAAACCAATCCACTGAAGCTGTATGTCTCTTTCTGTAATCCAACTAACTTAATAGTATGCTTTGAAACAGTTTCTGGTTATCAGAGGCCATGCACAGAAACCTTCATCCTGCTTAGCCACATTATTGTGCACTATATAGCATCAGCATGAACTTAACACATATTTAATGTTGCAAACTGTCCGTCCCACCTTCCCTTAGAAATAATACTTTTAAACTCTGAGAAAATGACTTATCTGTTTGGAATGCCTTTCTACACAATGCTAAGAAATCTGAAAGTCCTAGCCTCCCTATTAGTATCTGCAGTCAACAGGAAACTGAATGTCAGCGATATTCATGTCCATACTTATCTCTTTTTGCTTGAACTCCACACTCTGCAGATGACTCCAGACTGTGTACAGAGTACCAAGGAAGGAAATGCTCTATGCCCATGTTACAAAACTGGATGTAAAGCAGAGGTGGCAACAGTGGCCTTCCAGATGTTTGGAGGCTACAGATTCCCATCAACATACTTGACAGTGAGGGATTATGGGATCTATAGTTCATGAACATCATGAGAGCTACAGCTGCCCATCTCTGCTGTAGATGGCTGTTCTCTTCACTATGATTTCTGCTGGTTGATGAGGAAGATCTGATGGTGTAACCGTGTTTGGCTATCACGTTTACTACTATTCATAATACAAGATAATGCAGTGATCCTGATTGAATTAAGGACTGCCGCCATATTCACTTGAATGAGATGACAGCCCTATCTCAGATCTTCCCCACCAACACTAGATTAGGGTGATGCACAAGGCATTTTTACCACCTGCCCTCCCTAGATACACTTTTGTAGTACACATGCAGGGCTAGAGATAGCAGCCAAAGAATTATGGCTGCTGAATGACAGATGGAAACAGAAGGAGAAACTCCAGTGCCAATTAAGCTCTAGCTGATATCCACAAGGGTATTAGAACTACGGTGTACTCCTCCCCTCCAAAACTTGGTACCTCCTAAATGTCATATTTTAAGAGTTGGTACATTGATGGAAGGATTAATACTTTTACTACACTTACTGTGTAAGTGCCTTTCATGTGGATTTCCCTTAATTGCATTTCTGTAGAGGCAGGTGACACAACAGTTTTGTTATTGTTATTTAACCTTTGGCAAAGTAATAGATTTATCTAGTTGAATTTACATGGTACTGTTAGAATGTCAATACATCATGACTTAACACATCTTAGGTGCAAAAATGTTGGCACATTAAAAAAAACATAGTAAATTGAAATCTAGAGCTGTGTTGACACACTGATAAAAGTAAAATGGCCAAATCCATTGAGATTGGGGCAAAAGGTCGACTTTGATTGCTTTCAAAATTGATTGTAAGAATTATTCCTCAATAGATGAGACCTCCAGGGCATAGAAATATTTCCTTTCCTTTCCAAAATCTCTTATATTTGTAATAAACTGAGGTAAAATATTGCATGGCTGCAAGAAAGATTTGTGACTCCAAATTATTTCTAGTGAAAACATAGCTCTTAGGATTCAGAGCAAGTAGTTCCCTACTCTGTGCATACCACCAACTTTCCCTCTGTGTTCTTTGGCATATAGATTAATTATGCGCCTAAGCATTGACAAAGAGAATGCTAGTGCAAGAATCTTGGGGAGAAGTTATCTCCTCTGCTATTACTTGTTCTGCTAAGCACAAAAATATCTTCTGTGATAAGAATGTCTCTTTTTTTATGGATCCTCTGGGAAATAAGAACATTCTTACATGAAGAGATTAAAAGGAAAATGAAAAGAAAATAATAAATTCTTCTCTTGTAAGGTGTTATTCCTGCTACTCTAAGCGCTCACACAGGAACATCTACAGAGAAACTATAGTAGGTACAACTACAGCTAGCCTTATTTCTCGAGTCCTTCAAAGGTCAGGATGCTTGTTATTAATTCATAACGGGGCATAACCACCCAAAGGTTTTTCATGTTTCTGGGCTGGGTTCATTGGCACTAAATGTGGCAATTGTTGTGGGATAGGGAAAGGCTCCCCCAGATGTAAACAGTGAGAAGAGATGGTGGTGAGACTTGCAACACAACCATTTGTCCTGCGAGAGCTAGCTGTCCATTGTGTGAAGGAGTTCAGGACTAGTAGCCAGAAACACATTTCTCAGAGTTAAGTTGAAGGAACTGGGGCAAGCAAAACAGCACCTTCCACTACTACCCCAAGGCCAGAGAAACCCAGATGGGCTCTACACACAGAGAGACTACCCAAATCCAGGATCTTCTCTTATAAAAAGGGGTTGCTTAGGAGCTGCACTTGGTGGCTGTGTTCTCAGTGAAACAGGAGCCTGTCTGTAAGGAAGCCAGCCTCAGGGAACACAGCCAGGCCTAATTCTCACACACTGCACAAGAGATACAAACCTGAGTCAGCGCTCTACGATATGGAGGATGGGGAGAGCATACACAATACGAAACACTGCACACTTAAATAGTGGCACATATAAGAAGGGTTCTAGGCAGGATGTGTTAGTTTCTGTGTTCACGAATATTTTTTTTCCATGGCACCTTATTAAATCAACTGAACCCCAGCTGCAATCTGAACTGGCACAGCTTTGAAGACACAGGTATGCTCTATTTGAGATCATGAGGCCTCAGGCATTCCAGTCTCTCCCCAATGCTGTTTTTGGTCTATGTCATTTCTAGTGACTCTTTCCCCTGTCCACAACATTTACTCTTCTTCACCTCAGTTTGACTTCTCTAAATAACAGCTTTTCTCTGTGTGTGATATCAGTGCCAAGTAAACACGTGTCTTCTGAATTTTTTGTTAAAAGGGGGGGGGTATCAGCATGAAATCTACACAAAATGTTTAAATCAAAATTGAGATTAAATCTTCAAGGACCCATTGGCAAGATGAATTCAGCATACTTGGTATAAATGCAGCTTGACCGTTTTATAAATGCTGAAATCTAATCTAACTTGCCACCAGTTTTGGAGTTTAAAATGATGCTGAGATCTTGTCTTACAGTAATGGTACTTTAATTGTAATGGTCAAACTGACCCACTAGGGACGAATCAATGAACCATTTAAAGGCTCAATACTTGCAGGGGGGCAGGAGCACATTGTGATTGTACTGGCAATTTCAAAAGTCAACATTCTTCAGGGGAAGAAAGCAGCAAAAGAAGATTTAGAATGAGAGATGAACTTTTATAGTTTTGCTGTGAATCTAAGCAGGCACCCACAATACTGCATACTGGCCAGAGAAGCCAAGCACAGAAAAGAGACATACCTTTAACCTGGCAGTCTCTGGCCCTGGCCGAGTCCAACAGGAAGTTCTTTTTCATCCGCAAGTCACCCCCATACAAGATATAAAATAAATAATATTCAAAGACCACAGAAGAAAATACTGCTCCCATCTGCTCATGTATATATACATACAGCATGCCTACATACATCAAATGGTGTGGCGCTGTCATTCACAAACAGGAAAGACGGCAGTGCGCTATCAGAAGCTTTAAATACTCCAAGTGTTAGTTGTTTTTGTTTTTTTCCCTCAGATGTTGAGAAAAAAAGGAATATGAAAAGGAAGAAGGGGGAAATAATCAAAACCCAGCATTCACAACTTGTTTACTTTCGGTAGCAAACAGTTCGTTTTTGTTTGTGTCAGTGTCTAATCCAGGAATTAGTGTTCCTCTGCAGCACTGCCTCCGGTGAGGTACCCGTTTGTTCCACTGGATCCACTTGTCCCATTGGTGGTGGCTGATCTATGGGAGTTCTTTGAAAGAGGAGCGGAGGGTTCTTCGTCTGAACTAGACTCAACATCACTCCGGTTATCCCTCGCCTGCAAAACGTAGAAGAAAAAGAAGGAAACACACACTGAAAGCAGTGGAATGACAGAAATGAGGGGAATCTGCTAATTCTGTAGTTTCTGTATCCCTGTACTTCCCCCCACAATACATGCAGCCTCCCATTTCTGCACTTCTCTCTCTCTCTCTCTCAAAATGAGGACAAGAGAAGCCCACAAAGGAAGAGCGCATGGCATCTTCAGGTGGCAAGAGGCTATAGCTCAGTGGGTAAAGCATATGTTTTCCACGCAGAGAGACCTAAATTCAATGCCCAGCATCTCTAAAATGGGCTAGGAAAGAATCCTGACTGAAGCACTGAAGAGCTGCTGGTAGTCAGAGTTGATAATATAGGGCAAGGTGGGCCAATAGTCAGACCCAGGGCAAGGCAGCTTCGTATGTCTCTACCCCACCATTTCAATTTCCTGTGTCACTGGATTTTGCAAACAAGAGTTTAGCTTCAGTACAGGAGTTGACCATTCCTAAACGTAAGCTCTTAAAGCAGGGATTCCATTATGATGACCATGTTCTGTGCTGTGCTTAGCATCCTGTCCCTATAAAGTAGTGCTGGATGGCAAAAAAGTAAAAAGCAGAAACAATTTAGGAGTGTTCCTCTGAGGAAGGGCAGAAATGCTCCTTCGAGGGAACTATCTGTACGGTGCAGGATGGAGTTCAATTCTAGCTAAGATAGAAGGAAATAGTTTTGTGTTGGGGAAGAGGCAAAAGAGAAACAGCTTTTTAAAAGAAAGGCCAAGGGACAATTTAATAAGGAAGCAAAAGATGTCCAGGGCTTTGGGGGCTGAACTCAAGTTTGAAAAAATTACCGGTGCCCATACTGTCTTGACAATTCCAGAAGATGTAGTCTAGCTATGGAGAAATTATTTTTCTGGAAAAGCTGTAACTGAATGTACAGCCCAGAACTAACTGGTGCCCATTTTATAATTTAAGCCAAGCATACATAATTAAAACATAGTGCACATGTCACTTAAAAAGCTTTAAAAAACAAACAAACAAACAACAGCATTCTCTGCTATCACGTAAGGGAATGTTCATGTAACCACTTGACCAAAAGGGTAAAATAAATCCAGTAAGACTGAATTCCAAGAATATTCTCCAGCAACATGGAAACAAATTGAAATACTTTCTTCAATTCTCTTGGGAACATATGAGCAACTCTGGAAAGTGCAAATTTACCATAGCACTTTTCCCAGTTTACATGTTTTACACAAGAGCCAAACTGGCATCAAAGTTGATGTCAACAAAATTTAAACTTGCTATATATTCCTTATGTCTGAATAACATTGGGTTCCCTGTACCTCAAAGAACTTGTATTTTTAAGGGGGAAAACCCCAGAAACTGAGATAACAAGGAAAGAAAATGAGTGAATGTGAAAAACAAAAGGTAGATAGTTTACAGAGGAGTGCAAGTGTGTTTTACCAGGGAAACTTACATGCAAAGGGTTCCACTTCCCAGCCTTCAAAGGCAGCAAAAGAAAATAATTAAGAATGTTAAGAAAGAAGATACATTTTTAAAAAGGTGAAACAAGCAGCTTCCTACCAGAACAGGAGAACATAACAGCAAACCTGAGACAACGCTGGTCCTTCCTGATGTTCTGAGCTGGAAGATGCTGAAGGCCATGGATACCTTTTGATTCTTGGCAAGTTATGTAAATATTCAAGGCTATTTTGTACATTAAAAGTTTAAGGATATGTCAAATTGTTAATCTCAACTAAACTAGATATATTGAATTAATGGGACTTTTAGAGTTAATTTAACAAGGTCTGTTCATTTGGTGCATCTATTCCATTTGGGATTAACCACTGGAATTAGTCTTTAAGAAAGATGTATTAAATGTTTTATATATAACTTTTTTATTGCAACATGTGAAAGCAAACATATATATTTGCCATACGTAGAACTGGACTTGGCAGCAGATGAATGTCTTGACAAACACACACTCCATGGCAGATACAGATTTGCTGCAACACATGTTTCTGTTCTCCTGAGAAGCAAACTCTTCAGCTTCACTCGGATTCTAGGGGTGGCCCAAACGAAGCCCACACTGAATACCTGTACTGCAACCGTGTATGTTCAAATGAGTGTGATTGATCAAATGTAAAAATTAAATATGTGAGCTTCAAGCCAGAAAGACTTTGACATGGATTGCTGAAGTCATAGGTCTTGAAAGCACTAGGCTTTACATTACAAAAAAGATCATACAGTATGAAAGAATACACAGTGGAAAGCAAGAAGATATAAAATGTGAAGCCAGCATCCTAGCTTTTCTTACCTTGCCTTTAGAAATGGCTCTATAGGTGGCCTTTACTATTAGGTAAGACCACAAACAATGGAGAACTTGAAGTACCAGAAGTAAAGTGATAAAAATTGACAAAGCAGGGAAGCCACCAAGAATTTCAGGCAATTCAAACATGACTGTATTCAGTACCCTAAGGGAAAGAGAAAGGGGAGGTAGTTAATGTGGAACCAGTGAGACAGGGTTCATTTATCAACTCTGTTTCTTACCCCATGCATTTCATCCACTGTTTAGCTGTGGAAGGACTAGATGTCAGCTGGTAAATGCATGGCATCTCATCTACATTAATTCATATGATTTTTGAGATGACTCAGATAAAGTGTACTTCTACATGAGTATAAAATATATACATCTGCTTCATGGGGGGCAAATCTACACATTGTATTTCACTCATTCTCCCCCTCCCCTACATTTTTATAAAATTTTATTTGACATACGTTTTTATGGACAGTTGCCCACTACTTTTGATGCATCTGAACAAGTGGACTACTATTGACAAACACTTATGCCAAAGAAAACTTGATAGTTCCTAATGTGCCACAAGACTTTTGCAGAATTTGGCAGAAGTAACCCTCAATCATCAAAGATGAGTCTGTTATTAGAGGTAGATTCAGGCCACCCATGTTTCTATTGTTGTGATGGTAGCAGAATATGGGATTCGCTGGATTTCACAAACATGAACAACTTTCATTTGTCCTTGCCTTCTTTATCTACGGTTATTGCTGCAGCTCATCCTGGAATATCTCCTTCTCCCTCCCTCTCTTCAGAGTGAGCTTTCTTCCTCATCTCTCTTTCATTGGTTTCTCTGAGTTTCTTATGATGCCACATATGCTGGCATGACTCCCAAGTCCTTCCCCTTCTCCTGTTCTCAGAGAAAGAGGAGGGGGGGCATCCCAGTGTGAGAATGACATGTAGAGCAACAAATTCAGGAAAGCAAGGAAGAAACCAGAAGGACTTAAGGAAAAGAAAAGAAATCCAGAAACAGCATAAGGAAGAAGAGAGAGGAGGATGACTCAGAGGAAGGGGAGATTGTTAAAGGATTTGGAATGAAGGACCTGAGAAGCCCAACCAATGTTACATAAATCTCCTTTCTCTTTTTCAGACTTATAAAATGCCATTGCTCTTGATATGAGGGCAAGATAAGGGATTGTTTTATTAATTATCATTCCCAATGTGGTCTAGCGGTTAGAGTGATGGACCACGAGTCTGGAGAGCAGGGTTCAAATCCCTATGCAGCCATGGAAACTCACCGGGGGAGTGGAACTGGTAAAACCGCTCCTTCAATATCTCACTTACGCTAAAAGCCCTATTAAAGAGTAGGTAAGTCAGTTCCGACTTGATAGCACAGAACACGCAAACAGATACATTATCTCTGGCGTTATCTCAGAAGGCAGTTAGCATCCGGAAGCATTTGGCTATTTATGAAGTCCAAAAACAATGGTGGGGGCAATGGGGGGTTGTAGGTGAACAACTTTACAGAGGCCTCAGTTGAGGAGGACTGGTCTACCTGTATCCCCTGAGAGATTTATGAACCTGTTTTCACGGTAAGGTTCTACTGGGAACAGAACCTCCCCATTTTACCGATGGGAACATTCAGAACGCACAAAATTTATTTTATTCAGATGACCTCTGCTGCAATGCACAAGGAACAGTTGGTCTTTGCCATAAGCAAGCTGATGTCTGAAGATGTGCCAAGCTTTCCTTGGATCATTTAACAGCCACATCAGAGTACCTCCCTTAGGCTAGCCTTCCTCTCAACTTAATTTGACAGAAGATATCCTCTCAACTGGACCCATCTTCTTTGACAGCCTCCATAAGGCCTCTCAGCTGAGTAAGTGAACATGCGTTCAATTTATTTGTCTCAACCCTTTTCAGTCACAGTGGAAAATCATGTTTATTTAAGTCACTGGAGTCTTCAAGTCATATTTGTTTAAGTCGCCAGAGTGAATGGCTTCATTTATTTTTCTTAGAATTGCACAAGAAAAATGAAAACTCAACCATGCTTGCACCTGTTGGGGGTGGGGAGGATTATATATATTACGGAGCTCGATGAGGAGTTCTGGATAACTTGAAAATTCATACACTTTCAATGACTTTGAACTGGTATTAATAAAGTATCATCTGCCTGCTGATTTTGGTTTTTATTTTGCTTTCATGAACCAACATGGCCACCTTTGTTCTTAACATTAACAAATGCAACCAATTGTATAAAACAAATATTTCACTGAATTCCAGATGCATTTATCAAATGCATTTGACACAGTCAAATTAAACCAAAATCAAATAACAGGTATTGATAGTCTCTGTGCTTCAGTACAGTTGCTGCTGCAGAACTGGTTAGTCAGCTGAATGAGCTTCAGACAAGACTATCTCCAGATTATCTGCTCCCATGGACCGGATTAATCTTGCAAAAATAGTCATCTGACAAAAAGATTGTCATAGCGCATCAACACATGTTGTCCTGTAAGACACAAGAAGAGAAAATCTAGTCCTACAGCTGTTTTAGCCTGCAGGTTCCAACTTTCCCTGACCAATGGCCAATCTGGTTGAGGCTTCTGGCTACCAAGTCCAAAACACCCAGAGAATCAAAGCATCATCACCCCTGCTTGGGCAGAGATTATGTCTTCATCCTCCAACAAGAATTAATATTCACAAATCACTGTCGTTTAGCCTCAACAAAACCTGTTTCATATGTGCCATTTTTTTTCCTACATATGGGGTAGGAAAAAAGCTATACCCAATCAAATGTGAAGCTCATGTAACAGGACTCTGCAGCTGTAGGCTAATTAATTTCCATATTTCCATGTAATCAGCGATAAGGGTATATGATTAATCCTCACATACTGTCAATTTATATATACCCCTCACTCGTTTGTGTAGAAAAAGTGACATGGAGAAATTGACACCACTACCGAGAAGCAGCAATATGCAACAAGGCTTTCCTGCATTACATTTTGTACCTCACCACTGGCTTGAGACATGCCACTGCACTTCAGGTGATGAAGGAATATGCTCTCACTCACAATTAAAAAGTGCATACATAATCTTGTACTGAATGAGAACAAGTTGAAAGAAAGAAAGAAAAAGAGGGAGGGAGGGAGAAACACTTCTTTAAAGAATGATGAAAAATTCATGAGACAGCTGGCATTGCCTACCAGTTTGGCTGCTGAATTTTTTTAGGAGGCATTCCAAGGGTGGCTTAGATGCAGACAGACGATTAGGCATGGGCCTCAGAATCATGTTCACCCACAAGTGCTTGAGGAAAGTGAGATAACATGATTTGGGACCATACACTCCTTAGTGTATACAATATCCTTTCTATTTCTGTATTTCTACCACTGAAGAGGGTTGACGTGGTGGCGCTGTGGGCTAAACCGCAGAAGCCTGTGCTGCAGGGTCAGAAGACCAAGCAGTCGTAAGATCGAATCCACGTGACGGAGTGAGCGCCCGTCACTTGTCCCAGCTCCCGCCAACCTAGCAGTTCGAAAGCATGCAAATGCGAATAGATTAATAGGGACCACCTCGGTGGGAAGGTAACAGTGTTCCGTGTCTAAGTTGCACTGGCCATGTGACCACGGAAGATTGTCTTCGGACAAAACACTGGCTCTATGGCTTAGAAACAGGGATGAGCACCGCCCCCTAGAGTCGAACACGACTGGACAAAATTGTCAAGGGGAACCTTTACTTTTACCTTTACCTTACCACTGAAGAGAGACTGAAGGAAAGTGGAATTCTTGCGTACAGCACTTCCATCCTTTCATGCTAGTGCACAAGAAGCCATTTCCCCCTCAAACATCCCTTTTACCATAAAATACCACTGAGCAACAGGAAATGAGACCAAAACTAAACTAAACTAAAATAAAATAAAGAAGACAGAAACTTTGTGGCACCTTAAAGAGTAACTGTTGTATTTTAATGGAGCTTTCGTGGACAAGTACAGTGGTGCCCCGCATAGCGACATTAATCCGTTCCGGATTAATCATCGCTATGTGGAAACATTGCTAAACGGAAAGGAAAATCCCATAGGAATGCATTAAACTTCGTTTAACGCGTTCCTATTGGGGATAAACTCACCGTTCAGCGATGTTCCTCCATAGGGGC